TGAGGTCAGTGGATGTGATGTGTGCATGAGGTTAGTGACTTTAGGGGTCACTTTAGGACTCAGTAATGGGGTATCTGAGTGGTCATTGAACAAGTTTTTCATAGTGGTCACAGGGGATGAGGGGGTTTTCAATGATGAAATTCATGGAACATCTGTCATAAGTGACCAAGTATATGTATGGTTAGTGACCATACTGACCAGGGAGTAGAGTGGTATGTTGTGGTAGGGGGTGGGGTTGGGGGGAGTGATGAGTGTCAGGTTATGGGAGGATCTTCAGTTGGTTTCACTCTTTGCCCTCTCCCCCAGTAGAGAGACCTTCTCAGTTTCCCATGGTGAGGGGGAGAGGTGACCTCTGGGCCCAGAGGTTTAATCTCCCTCATTAATCACTCACCCCTGTCCTCCCCCAGCTCCTACTCCTAGCATCCAATGGATCCAGTTTCTCTCAGGCTCCTTGACCTGGGGCCAGCAAGAGGCTGGGGTGGGGGGGTCAGACTGAGAAATCCCTTCAGTGGGCCCTCACTAGTCCCGGGGGAGACTCTTCCTTCTTGAAAAACTGGGGACCTCCCTTTCTGTGTGAGTTGTAGGGCTGTGTCTCACTCTGACAATATCTGTATCTTGTATCTGCTCTGTCTACTGGTCTTTCTCTGCTGCTGCCTATGAACCGTCTTTCTGTCTACCCTCTTCTATCTTTCTGTCTCTCTCTCTCTGTCTCTTTGCTGATGTCTCTGTTGGTTGCCTGTTTTTGTATGAACCCCTCTATCACAAAAATGTCTCTGTCATATGTGTATATGTCTCTAGTCTGTGTGTCTTAATTTCTATTTTTATTGTGTGACTTTGCCTTCCCAGGTGTCTCTCATTGTTGGGGTTGGGGGTTTTTTTAAGTGTTTCTTTTTTCTTCCCCATCCCCCAATCCAAATCCTATTCACCATCTTCTCAGTCTCTGCATTTCCACCCCACCTCCCCCACCCCTGGGACAGGCTAACCCCATTACCTGAGACAGGCATTGAGAGGGGGAAGGGAAGGGAGGAATGGGATGAGAGGAAATGGGAGGGGGCTCTGAGACAGAAAGAAAGAAAAAGGGAAGATGCAAGAGCCCTCAGCGTTCAACCCAGTTCCAGTGTGGGGTCACAGATGTGAGTATGCCTCAGACTCAGGAGGTCATACCACTTTCCTTAAGTCCCCCCTTCCTCATCCTCGGGCCATTGGTTATCACGTCTTCGACCCTCATGCCAGGGAACCATGTCTTCCTATCAGACTCAGGGCCAGATGTCACCCCTCAGACCTGAGAGAGACTCCCCAACATACCTGAGACCTCTCAGGAAAGGCATAGGGAGAGAGATCAGGGATAGGTATCATTAGGAGAAAGAGATCCATAGCAGAGAGGTCTGAAATTAAGACCCGAGTAAAGAGGGAATAAAGGAAGGGGAGAAAATAGAGAAGGAAAAGAAGGGGAACTTGTGAGTAAAGGAGAGTAAGACAGACTTATGTCAATGTCAGAGGCAGACTTTGTATTGTGTTTGGTTTTTTTATGTCTTGCTCATTCTAAGCACAATATTTAACAGTTGTGTTGTAAATGTGTATGTGTGAATTGTGCACCTATGTTTCGTATGCTTGGTGAGTTTTGTGTTGTGCCTCTGTGAGTTATGTGTTGTATACCTTGGCCTCTCTAAGAGGGCTCCATAAGAAGGGAATACAGGAATGAGGGTTGGAGTTGGGAGGAGGGGCACATGAAGCCTCTCCTGGGACACACTTTAATTACCGATTAAGTGAAACAACATTGATGGGACAGACATTGATTTGATCGAAGAAAGGCAGCTCCCAGCTCAGCCTGGGGAAGGGTGGGAGATGGGGGGGGTCTCTCCCCCCCATAACCGATTGAGAGGCTCTGGAATCACTTTAGCCAGCCTCCACACTTCGGTCCCTTGTGATCTTTGACCGTTAGTCAGTCACCAGCGTGGAAGTGTCTGTCTATGCAATTGCGCAATTGTGTCTGCATGATTGTGCCTCCGTGTTGGCGGGTATGGCTGTCTTTGTGTACGTACCTCTGAGTGTGTGTGCTCGGGTTTCAGCGTGTAATCTTTGAGGTGTGTACTGAAGTGACTGGCTCTTCACAACACTGCCCAGAGTGTCCCGGTTCCTACTCAGTCCCTGCCCCTGAGTTTCTTTTCTGGGCCGAAAGCAAACCAGGCTCTTACCTGGAGATCTGAGCTCCGTCCAAGGCAGCCCAGGCTCTTTCCTTTCTCCCGGAGAGCGGAAAAAGAAGTGGAAGGAACCAGGGATGCAAACCCATGTAACCCGCAGTTACACACACTGTCCCCAAAGTGGGCAGAAGAGGATAGACGAAGGCCACTAATAAACAATCGGGGAAGAGGCGGGAGAAGGTGAAAAGGAAATGAAAGCAGTCGAGAGGCAGAAATATCCACTTAGAGAGCCAGCAATATGGGGGAAGATCCCCGAGACAGTCGGCAGGACAGTTTCTTTAATGCCCTTAATTTTTCGGAGGGGGAGGGGGCTTAGAGACTCAAAGAAACAAAAGCCGCCTCCGAGATGGGGATGACCCGAGAAGGGTGACGGTGAGTCTAAACCGTGGGAATTGAGGGGTCCGCCGTCTGTCTGTCGGTGTCCAAGTCTGCATTACCCCCTCCTACAGGAAGTACTGCGGCTCCGACCGTTTGTCTGGGGCAGCATGGACCGCAGTGTGTGGCGTTTTTTTGTTTTGTGTGGTTGTGAATAGAACTGTAGGTGTGTGCGTGAAAAAGCTAGAGATTGGGTCTTTTCTGGCGAGTTGCGGTGGTCCTACAGGTGAGCAATGGGGCGACTTATTAAAGTGATTAAAGAGGCTTATGTGATTCAGTCAGACAGATCCCGAGAGACCCAGAGACGTGCTGGGCTGAAGGTGGGCCAAAAGGCTCCCCCAGCCCTCGATGTCCCCGCACCATTTCCTGAGGCCTATTAGGATTCCGTCGTAATTCGCCTGAGACGGGTCTCTGCTAGGCCGGTCGCAGCGGTAGTCAATGCCCTAGCGACGGCCCACAGAAGATGAGCGGGGAAGCTGGGGGGGGGGGGGCGGCGAAGGCGTGGTGTGTGATTGTCTCCCCGGATTTGCTGTGTTCCAGGTGTCTTTTTGTATATCTATGCTATGTTTATTGTCTTTTCCAATGTATGTGTGGGAACAAGTGAGTCTCCTTTCGGGGACAGTAAGGTTCCGGAGTCAGACACCTACACCAGTGTGAAGCTCCAAGGTCGCCTGAGGCCCTGGGAGTGACTCCAGGCTTGGGGCTCTGACTAGGTCTCCGACATAGCCCTGGGGATGTATGGGGTCAGCTCCTACCGAGTCAGGACCCAACATTTATCGTCTATCTAACCAAGCCATCTGAAGTGCTAAGCGGACCCGGGGATCTCCCATTCATTGTAGAGGCTGAGTGAGACAGACACAGGCACTAACAGAAACATGGACTGACCTCACCTTTGGTCATGGGGTTGTACGCGTCTCTGTCCTTTGTTTTGTTCATGTCTCTTTGAATCAGTGGGTTTCTGAAGTGGCGGTGGTGGTGTGTATGGACCGTTCCGCTAGGTCCCTCTTCCAGTCCACCACCTTGTCCTCCACCTACTCCCGTTTTTTGATCTCCCAGTTGGTCCCGTACCTGTCCCAGTGCGATCCGATAGATCTTGAGCCCCAGGTCTTGAGACAGCCCAGAATAGAAGTCAGAATCCTCCTGAAAGTCGAGCCTGCAGCCTCCGGAGTCTCCAAGGAGCCAATTCAGAAAGCTGGGTTTAGGGGAAGAGGAGACGGGTGCTCTGTGGAGTGCTACGAGACCGGGAAATGGGGTTGAAATAACAAGGAATAGGAAACAGAGAAAGAAGAGGTGGAGGCCCAAGGGCTGGGGGCTGGGGGGAGCTGCTGAGCTTGGGGCCAGAGCAGTGAAGAGAATGGAATTGAAAAGAATGGAACTAGTACTAAGGTAAGGGTATGGTAGGCCGAGGCACTGAAGCTTCCGGGAAGCCAGAGGTTTCTACGCCTCACCTGCGTCCTCCATTAGGCTTCCCCCGCCCCGCCCCCCTCCGCTGCCTTGTGGCTCAGACCACTCTGAGCAACCTCTGTCCCAGGGGTCTCAGACAGAGAAGGCTGTTGGAGACTCGGTAGTGGCCAGATTGACGAGGCCTCCGCTGCTCTCCCGGCCCAGCCGTGGTCGGTCTGCGGAATCTAACCAGTGCCCCAGCCCCACACCCCCGCATTCCTAATCACTTCCAGCCGCAGTCACCCTCATCGCCTTGTGGACCCACATTCTCTATGGGGCTGGGAAGGAGGATAGATTAGGAGGATTGGATTCATGGAGAAGCAGGGCTTGAGCTAGGAGAGGGAGGTAGGCAGACACAGCTGCCCCTTAGGTCTGGTCACAGCTGGATCCAGCCCCTTCTTCCCTCACAGCTGGTTTCAACGCTTCCCCCCCCCCCCCCCCCGCTTCCACCCACCAACTCTAGCGCTGGGAACTTTTAAAAGCCCTTGAGGCCGCGGGAGGAAAACCCTTTTATCGCCCGCAGTTTTATGGGCCAGAGAGGCTGCTCCCATTACGGGTAGGGGGCCCAGGCTGGACAGCGGTGAGGGGCACAGTAGGGGGGATAGGGTCTGGCAATTAAGGGACTGGGGTGAGGGTCGTAACAATAAAGAGGCTGCTTGGAAAGGGGCAGGAGAAAAGAGCCGATGGGCCCGGTGGTGGCCACTAGAGCAGGAGTTCAGAAGAGGGCTGGGGAGTGGGTACATTTGGGGTAGCGCACTCTGTCCCGTCCTGTAGTGTTTCCAAAGGGCGCTTGAACCAGGAGGTCACCTCCTTAGTCTGCGCCAGGGTCACCTGGGCCTTAGCCTGAGGAGGGCGGACGACCAGACCATCTAGGGGACCCTTGAGGTGGGGGTGGGTCTGGAGGATGGATACCCGGCCCCAGTGCTCGGGGCCGCCTCAAGCTCCGCCCCCCCCTCCCCACCCAGTTGCCGCCTCCAGCCCCAAGGCCCTTTAAGGCAGGGCTAAGGCTCGGCTGGCGGGCGTAGTTGTGCACGGACTAAGCCACCCGATTAAGGCAAAGAAGCAGCTTCAGGCTTGCCCAGCGCAGGCTTCTGGGCACAGACCGGGGCCCCGGGGGGCGGCACGGGGCGTTCCCGGGCCCCGGGGCCCGGAGCATGAGCCGATGCGCGGAGAAGGTGGGGGAGGAGGAGGAAGAGGCGGTGGCGCTGAGCTGGAGGCCCCGGCAGCCGGGACCCCTTGGCCCGGGGGCCCCGACATGACCTCGGTCCAGGAGTCCAGGCCGCTTCCTGCCGCTTCCAATAAACCGCCGACGCCCTTCAGCATAGCTGACATCCTGGGTCCACCAGCCCGCCCGGCCCCAGCCCCAGCCCCCACGCCCACCCGGGACCCTACTTCGCCTCTCTGCGCTCTAGAAGAATTGGCCAGTAAGACCTTCCGCAGGCTCGACGGCAGTGTCTTGCAGGCGACCGAAGGTACGCGGTCAGACGCTTAGCTGGGGTTGCAGTTAGAAGGAGGCAGGCGGGAGGGGGCTTTGGGTTCCTAAACTGCTGCGCGTCTTACTGTGTACCCTTGCTACAGCCTCCACCTCCGACTCCTATTTCCTCCTTTCCTTCCCCTTCCTCTCTTTCTGCACCGTTTCCTCTTATCTGCCCATTCCCGAATCCCCTTCCTTCCTCTGCCTCAACATCCCCTCCCGATCCCCTTTTTCTCCAGACTTCCTTTCCCCTTCTCCTTTACCCCTTTTTGCTCCTCACTTTCCCTTAGTTTCCATTCTCTTCTGACCTCCAGTTTTCCTTCGATTCACCGTTTTTTTTCTTTCCCTGGAGTTCCCCTCTCCTCTCTGTCTGACCCCTTTCGTCGGTCTGTTTCTTTTCTTCCACTTGCTCTCCTCCTTTCCCCCCCTGTGGTGCCCTGGCTTTCATTCACTGCCTCCCTTTTAACCGGTCTCCCCTTTTGAAACACCCCTCTCCTGAGTCCGGCTCCTTCGAAAACTTGGGCCACGACGTGCCTCCTGCTGGGTCAGCTCGAGTTACCAAAGGCGAGTCCGAGGCCACTTTTTCCTCTCCCCTGTGTTTCAGGGATCTGTCCAGGACATCGTCAGATCTTACTGTTTCCTTCCTTCAGCGGGCCGAGGTCTCTGTCCGACCAGAGCCTGAGCTGACTGCGCTCCTCTCTAGGCAGTTCCGACCCAAAGAGAATGCACTCGCGTCCATATGCTCCCGCGCGCGCGCGCGCGCACACACACACACACACACACACACACACACACACACACACACACACACACACTCGCAACCACAATGAACTAAGGAAGGATAATCAGATGTTGGGACCGGAGGATTGATTGCTACTGTTACTCTATACATTGTGACAGAGATGATAAAGATCCTGTCAGGCTGAGAAAGACAAAGGGACAGAAACAGAGACAGATGAGGGAAAAAGAGTGAGGTAGCCAGAGATCCAACCCAGTTCGGGATCCTCCTTCGCCTCTTCCCAAGCTTGTAAGGTTCAGAGGCTTCAGGCTCATCTCTCTCTCCCCTGCTGTGTTTGTGTCTCCAAGGCTCCAGCCCCTGCAGCGGCCGTTTGGCTATCCGGAGGTGGAGGAGGGGCACCGGGAAGGTGTGAGTCAAGCCACTGAGACAGTAAGGGGGCCCGGAAAAGGCCCCGAGATCTCAGGGAAAGAGCCCTAAGGACTGGGGGGAGAGGTCATAGGAGTAGGTCGCTGATCTCTTCCTTTTTGCTCATCTGACCGGCCCCCACCAGTCCTGAAGCCCAGATCAATTCCATCATCTAGTCCCTGACCTCTCTATCTCTTGCACGTCTCTCTACCCCATGAAACTTCTCTCCTTTCCACAACCTTCTGTACCTCCAATACCCTGCCCCCATCTCCCTATTCCCTTAATTGCCTACCTCAACTCCCTACCTCTTTGTGTTTCCCTCCCTAACCCTAACTCTGCCCCAGTCCCTCAGTCCTTCTCAGCCCTACACCCCTCTGACCTCTGTCTCAGTCATCCCAGACACTCCAATCAATCAAACCATCAACAAGTCTTCTCTGTGAATTCACTGGACCCTCTCTTCCCCACCTCCACCATGCACCCAGCCCTGTGCTGGGAGGAAATGGAGGAAGTGCAGTTCGGGCCCTGAACCTGCTGGCTCCTGGAGTTGCTTACAACCTACTACTCCCAGGGGCCTTGAGTTACCTACCCCAAATAGCTGACCTAGATGACCCTTGCATTAGCCTCCTTGCTAAGGCTAGAACCTTGCCTGGTTCTCCTTGCCTATAGGGAATTCATAGATCACCTCCTGTTTCCTAGGTTTTAACTCGCGCCCCGCCTCCCAGGGGATCTAGGGAACTCCCCGAACTCTGAGTCCCGTTCAGACTTGCTGTTGTGGAGAAGCCCACAGTCCACTCCAATGGTCCAAATCCTGTCGGCAAGGCTGGCCTGACTGCTCTCGGGGATGTCCAGTTCCAGACTCGATCATAACCCTGGTCCTTCCTGTTCCTGCAGGTCAGGCGGCACTGGATCTGCTCAGCCCCAGGCCTGTGACCCGCAGGCGTCGGAAGTCGCGTACTGCGTTCACCGCGCAGCAGGTGCTGGAGCTGGAGAGGCGCTTTGTCTTCCAGAAGTACCTGGCTCCAGCTGAGAGGGACGGGCTGGCAGCTCGGCTGGGCCTGGCCAATGCCCAGGTCATCACTTGGTTCCAAAACCGCCGAGCCAAGCTCAAGAGAGATGTGGAGGAGATGAAGGCGGACGTGGCCTCCTTGCGTTCCCTGCCTCCCGCAGCTCTCCGCCGGCTGAGCCTCTCTCTGCCAGAATCAGGCTCCAGCCCTTCCGCCGACCCGGACCCCAGCCCTGACCCTGGGCCCGAGCTTTCAGACGAGGAGATCCAGGTGGATGATTGAAGAAAAAGTCTGGTGCTGGCTCTTGAGACCCGCGGACTCTATCGTCAGACTCTATCAAGACCCTTTTACCCACTGGGCTAGCTCAGAGGGTCCAGGTCCTTAATAGACTTCTACTGCCCAGTTTTCAAACATTCCCACACCGTTCTCCTTCCATTCATTGTCCTTCACCCCAGCCTCTGTACTATCCCCATTCTCTGGGGTCTTTCTGTCCCAGACTAACTGGATCACCCAACCTCTTTTATTCCTATTGTGGTTTTGAGTTGGGGTGGGCTTGGGGGGGAAGAGGAGAAGCATGATTCTGCATGGTTCATCCTGCCATTCCCCATTGTCCCTGGCTCTCTCAGTTGTTGCACAAGTCTCCCTACTCCCCCTTTTTCCAGTCCTAGGGACTTACTTAGAGGTCCTAGACACATCTATGAAGTTAGTTTCTTTACTCCCCACTCCTGTGCTTCTGGGATGTCCTGGGTTTCTCCCTTTTTTTTTTTTTACCGAGGAGTATCAGATAGCGTTCCTCTTTATCCCAACGGCCTCCCCCGGCCCTGCGTCGTCTATTCGCCCTCATTTTTTCTATCCTAGTCAGAGACAGACTTTATACGGCCCAGTCTCCCCAATCCCCCCTGTTCTAGGCTGAGGGATCCCTCTGGCGCCAGACTCTGTCACTCCCACCTGGACTCCCTCCTTCTGAACCCTAGTGCCCTCTGGCCCCTATAGACTTCACCTATCCTGTCCCCTCTCTTCCTTTTAAGGACCCCTTCTAGAGCACATTTGGTTTTCTGCGGTTATGTCCTAATCAGATCCTAGTCTATATTCCTGCCTCTGGGCCGGAGGCTTCTCCCAGCAATGGCTGTTGCTCAGGGGATGGACAGTGAGACAGGGTCAACTGAGTTTTCTCTGCCTACTATAGATATCTGGCAGTTTGTAGCCCCTTCCCCACTTCCACTCCCACCCACCCACCCCACCACCTCAGTCAGTGTGAATAAAGAGGATCCAATGAGACATTTCGAACTTTCCCTCCTGCAAGGGGAGAGGGTGGAAGCAGGCCATAGATGCTGGCAGATTGTGTGCGTTTGGGCAACCTTAGGATCCTTACCGATTGAAGGCCTGAAATACAGGAGGGATCTGTTCCCCATTACCTCTACCCCAACTGTTTTTTGTGATATGGAGCTGACCTCAAAAACTGCTCTCCTCCCTTACCGTACAGGAGCCAAAGATCGTATGAGATTGGACTGTCAAGCCTCCGTATTGAACCTACTAGGCCTAGAGGGCATCTCCCCGAATTCCTTTCTACAAACACCTCCCTCTGCCTGTCCCTGCCAACCCCCATCCAAGACTTTATTATTAATGACAACCTTGACCTAGATCCAACCCCCTGAGAGACGTGGGATGATAGAAACTAAGGAGAGAAGACAGAGGAAAGGGCCAAATTACACAGTACTGGAGGTTACACCCCTGGTCACAGAGCAACTTGCAACACACTCGGCAACAGACACACAAGCAGTAACGTCCACACTGCCAGCAACTGAGGCAGTAACACACTCTAATTCGGGGACAATAAAGGGTGTTTGTGGGACACATTACCACTACCGCTTAGCGTAACTCACCCAGCGACATACACTAACTGGCCTGGCACATAGTAGACGTCTTGTAAAATGCTCATGAAAGTGAACTTCATACAGGAAGACAGTAACATTGGACACACAACACACGACAAGACAGCAACAACGGACATACAACAATATGTGACACAACCCCACAACACCCTCAGTAACGCGGCATACTCACGCCGTCGTAACGCACTACATCGCACAACACATACATACACATAATACAGGCAGCCGCACAGTCACACACCGCAACGCTGTAACACATAAGGACACATACCGAAATGCCAGTAACGCAAAGCCCTCTGAGAGCCCAAGTTGCCTCCCACCCCCATCCCCTCCACAGGCGCGGAAGCGTGTGTGTGTCGGGGTGAGGGGGTAGACTTGGGAAGATTTCCCCACCCCCACCCCGTGGAGTGGCTGCCCCCCCTCTCCATCCCCCAGTAATTTCCCGGGTGACCGGGCCGCTGCTGGCCGCTGACATCCCCGGCTGAGTTTAATTCCTTTAACTTGTGATTAATTACCCACCCCCGCCCCCACCCCCACCCCTCCCCCGGGCCTGTCTGCACATCAAACGCCGGGGGGGGGGGGGCGCTGCTGGGAGCTACTGGACCAGAGAAAAAAGAAAGGGAAGGGGAAATCCGTGGCTGATATCCCCGACTCTAGGCCAGGTTACGTTTCCCTATTCACCGCCTCACACTAGTACTCTCTCAAATAAAAAAAAGTGCCCCCTCCCAAGAACGCCCCAGCTTCTCTGGGTCCTATAAACACCCTAGCCTGCACTCCTGCTCTGCTCTGGCTGAAGACAATTCTGCTGGGCCCATTTCCTAATCTGTAAAACGAGGGGTTTGGGGTAAATTTGCGGATCCTAGCCCCAAGAAGCATCACACTATCTAGTTGAGTGACAAGACACATGCAGAAGACAATGAATTTAGAGGTCAAAGGCAGAAGCAGAATGCCCAGGTTCAAATCCCAACCTGGCTACTTTAAGTGGAGGATGTCTCCAAATCACCAGACCCTCTGGGCTTCTTTCCCTCTTTCTAAAATGAGGGAGTTAGACTTCATGTCTGAGGTTTCCTCTGGCTGTAATATTCACCAGTAAATCCTGGTTCATAAAGGGGGGGGTTCCAGGAGTTGGGAAAGACATTAGTGCTGGCCCCAGTGGCCAGGGAAGATTTCCTTAAAGAGGCAAAATCTAAGTTGGCCTCTAATTTATAGGATGAGAGGGTTTCCACAAGGTGGAGAAGGGAGGTCTTCTAAAGTAAGGAAGATGGCCTAACAACGTGGAAATGTGCAGGGAATGTCTTTTCCTAATAGGGAATGCCTGTTAGGGGCATGAGTAAACCTTTGGAACTTAGGCCAGGTAGCAGGGTCTTGAATCCCAAGCTGAGTAGGAGCAATGGGGAAATCAGTGGAGGATTTTAAGCAGGAGAGGGATATAATCACATATTGGATAGTGGAGAAAAGCCTGGAAGCCAGAAGATCTGCAAGGAGGTAACCAAGGGGGACTAAATCAGGCTGGTGGGGTTTGGGCAGAGAGGAGACACTATAAGGGAAGAAGGGACAAGATTTGGTAACTGATTAGATCTTCCTGACTGGGGAGTCAGGAAGAGGGAGGAGTCAGAGAGGATACCTAGGTTTCTAAGCCCTGATGATCAAGGTTCTCATGCCACTGTGGGGGCTCAGGAAGGGGAATCAATTTCAGGAGTAAGGTGGTTGGCTTTGGGCAATTACCTCCATTAAGCCCCACCCAGCCCTCTTCCTTTGTTCAGGGGAACAGGACTACACTGAGCCCCCTTACTCCCATCCCCCAGGTCAGACATCTCCAAGCTAATTCCTGCAGGAAGTCTTTCCTGCTATGACAGGTACCTCAGGGAAAAAGGATAAGTTGGATGTATTAGACAGAAAAGGCCAGAAGATGTTTGAGGTTGAAGAACATTTTATTGAGCTCAGTTCCCAGACTTGGAATGCAAGGGGGAGCCCTTGCCTCAACCCCCAGCAGCCAAACCTGGCCATTATGGCATCTTCATCAGACACCAGGCATCAGGCTGGAAGCGAGCCTTGCCCCAGAGCCTTGGGACACACAGGTCCCTAGCAACACCAGTCATCTTCAGGGTCCTAAATGGGGCCCACAGGAAGGTCACACATGCTGCACCAGCCTTGAGGCTTTGCTAAAGGCTCCTATGAGGAAGGAAGGAAGGATGTTACAGGGAAGGGAGACTGAAGCTGGAAAGGTGATGGGAAAATATCAGGAAGGAATCAGCTACTGAGAGGGGAAAACATGGCATAGTTGCTGATGGGGAAGAGAAAATTTTTTGTTCATTTGTGCATATGTGGGTAGGGGAAGCCTAAGAAAATCTGAGGGAGCTGAGGACTGAAAAGACCCAATAACTTCAGGGAAGAGTGTTGCCTCACCAGGTTTTTGGCAATTGAAGGTGCTGAACTGAAGGTAGTGGAGCTGGAACTGGGACTGGCAGGATGAATGGTTGAGGACCAAATCTGGTGGACGACAGGCAAGGAAGGAAGGGTTGGAAGCTGCAGTTCTGTTACCTTCCCATCTCACCCCAGGACCCCGTGGTCAGGGATCACCCAACCCCCAGAACACAACTCCTCCCCAAGAGAGGGCAGACCTCCCCATCCAGGGGATTAAGGGAATACCCAACTCTTCATGGGGTTTACTCAAATGGCAGCTCAGGGTACATGTAAAGATCTTGTGTTCAGAGGGGGAGCCTGGAGGCTCTTCCACTTACTAACTATGCAATAAAGTTTTAACATTTCTGAGGAAACCTCATCTGTAACCTACGTGGTGTTATTAGGAAAATTCTTTTGTGAGCTTGAAGGCGATACAGATAAAGAAACGAGAGCTTGTCTTTTAATTCATGATGATCCCCAGCAAAATTCTAGGACCAACTATGAATGAAAGAAGATGGTTTGTGGGCCCTTAGAAAAGGAAGTAGGGATTGCTGAGAGGCAGCACAGGCTCATCAGGAATCATCAGGAATAGCCCATGCCAGACTAACCTTATTTCCTTTTATTGACAGGATTACTGGGCTGGGTGGATCAGGGGAATGCCCGATACTGTGCACCTAAGCAAAGTATTTAACAAAGTCTCATGATAGTGTGTTGGGCTTCAGGAGGATTGGGGATATTAGAAAGTTAAGGACCAGACCCAAAAACTTGGATGAAGGCACCAGAGGGCAAACTGAATGTGCAGACTTCATGAAGTAGGAGGGCTAGTAAATGCTGGATGGCAGAACCAAGGTGCAAAAGGTTGGTTCATGTGAAAAAGGGCTGGAATTTTTAGTGGAATGCAACCTCTATATGAAGTAGCAGTATGATGCAGCTGTCAAAATATTAACACACAGAGTACCCAGTTCAAGGAAGATACTCTGCCCTAGTAAGACCACATCTGAAGTACTGTGTTCAGTTCCATATGCCACATTTTAAGAACACTGAAAAACTGGAGTAGGTCCAGAGGAGGAGAGTGAAGGGACCGACTAGAAGCTATGCCATTTAAGTAATACCTGAAGGAACTGGGAAAAGTTAGTCTAAAGAGGACTTGGGAGGAGGAGGGGCTTAAATATGTCATACAAAAAGGACAGACCTGTTTTGGGGGGAGAGCCCCAAAGGAGAGAGGTAGGACCAATGGCCCTCAGTTATAGGTAAAGAGACTTTGATCTCTTTTCTTTTTCTTCTCTCTTTCTCTCTCTCTCTCTCTCAACAAAACCTGTTAGGAATTAATCAGGACAACAGGTTTGGGAGAAAGCCAACAACTTGAGTTAATGTCTTCCTGGATGGTGGAGGGAAAGGAAGCTACGGTAGGAGGCAGTATAACTGCCATGTAACTGGGAGCAGGTCATTTTTTTGCTTCTGGCCTGTTTTTAAATCTGTAAAATTAGGTTGGATCTAAGAAGCTCTAATTTGGAAACTTATTTCCAAATCATGATGCCCCAAGTAAAAAGGAGTAAAAAGAGGCAGTTAAGTGGATAGAGCACCAGGTCTGGAGTCAGGAAGATCTGAGTTCAAATCTGCCTCAGACACTTCCTAGCTGTGTGACCATGGGCAAGTCAATTCACCCTGTTTACCTCCGTTTTCTCATCTCTAAAATGAGCTGGGAGAAGGAAATGGCAAACCACTCTGATATCTTTGATAAGAAAACCCTGAATGGGGTCATGAAGAGTGGGATGCAACTGAAACAACTCGACAACAAAAAAGGAAGAGGCCAAGACAGAACTCCCAGGCTACACGAGGCTGACTCTAGCCCTAAGCTGAAAGGCCCAGACACCATGGGGAGGACTGGGGGGGAATTCTTAGGTCAGGGAAGAGAACTGTCTAATCCTCCATTCAGGAGAGAAGGGAGCAATCATTAGCCCCAAGTTAAGGAGGGGCTTTCTGGACACTAGGGAGGAAAGGCTCCCTTCTCCTCCAGAATCATGGAAGATTTTTTCAGGGCAAGCATCTGGAGGGCAAAAGCCAATAGCTAGAGAATAAAGCATCTGGACTAAGAGAAGCTAATGGCCATCTCAAAACAAAAGAACAAGGAGAGAAAGTGGATTCTGAAATAAACCAAGAATCTACCCTAAAATAGTCTCTAGGCTAATGGCACCTCTGAACAAATGACCTGGATTATGGGGGGTTCCAGTTTGTGCTGCTCAGAACCTAGCAACTGTCCCTATCAAAGTGAGTTCCAAGATGGCCAACTGCACATGCCAGAGTTTATGAGCAGGGCTGACTATGGACATTAGGTCCCCCTCTCTTGGGAGAAAAGCAATGAGTCCTATCCTATTAGATGTACAGTGAACTGCCATCTCCCTCTTGTAATGAGAAGCGGAGAGTAGACATTACAAGACTGCCCACAGGGATGGACAGAGGCAGAGGCACCCTCTTTGGTGGACAGGCAAACACACAGATAGACAGGTAGGTCCTCACCTGGACAGAGACAGGCGTGGTGGCTGTCCTAGGATGCCCCTTCCCTTGCTGAAATCCTGAAGCTGGGCGGACCAGAAACTTCCACTCTGAGCCTGGGTGATGGGCCAGAGAGCAGAGGGAAGCCATGGGGGAGGCAGGAGGCCCTGGGTCCGAGGGGATACCGAAGTAAAATGATTTAGGGGAAGCAACCCCTGGGCCCCAGCCTCAGAGTGGGGAAACTGCTGTGGGGTCCTGGGTTTCAAAGCTGCACCATGGATTCCCCCTTGATGCTCCTGCTGAGAGA